GGAGATACGGGGTTGTTTTCCAAGGTGGCTGCTATTCAGACACTGGCCAGGCATTGGTCTGCTGGAGGTGGTGGTGAGGGATTGATTGCCTTTACATTGCTTGGGTTCTCTTCTTCCTTTACTGATTGAAAGGTATCTCAACCAACAAGTTCCCTTGCTTTTGCTTTTTCTACTCTCTCCCCTGTCCCGCTTGGCTGGGGGGAATGAACGAGCGGCTGTGAGGTTGCTTGGCTGCTGGCTGGGGTCAACTCACAACAACATACCTTGCCCAAAAGCATCACCAGCCTACTTTGGCAGACCACACAAATAGTTAAAACACAACTTTGTTTCCAAAGGTTTTCTAGAAGGTCTGTTGACTTTATTTTTATTTAGCCTGTCTTGACCTCTACTTCTGTTTATTTCTATTTCCTTATCTACCTATTCAAAGCAAAGCCTCAAATGACAGAGTCTGTCAGCTTGCAGAACTTCTCCCCACAGGCAAATCTGATGTGCCCAGTGATGAACCATCAGTAACCAGTCACTCCGATGACTCTGCCTGTGACTCCACCAGAAGTGGAGGCTTCTGATGAGGCAGAAGGTCCATGCCTCATCAGCTTCTTGGGGAACTTGCCTACCGTCTGATATCTGAGCCTGAGGACGTGTTATACAAAATCCTCCAACACTTAAAGGAGAAATAGGAGTGGAAATCACTCTTTCCATTATTTTCTACCATATACACACAGGCTCACCACAGGGTGTGGCTGCAAACTGGACATGCCAGGGGAAGTTTAGCTTGGATATTAGGAAAAAATTCTACACGGAAAGGGTAGTTAAGCATTGGAACAGGCTGCCCAGGGAAGTGGTTGAGTCACCATCCCTGGAGGTATTCAGAAGATGGGTAGATGTAGTGCTTAGAGGTGTGGTTTAATGATCGTTTTTGTCAGTGTTAGGTTGATGGTTGGACTAGATGATCTGAAATGTCCCTTTTGACCCAGGCAATTCTATGATTCATTGATTCTATATGAGTTTATGTTTCAAAGCATAGCTCAAGTATGGCCAGTCCATACAAACACCCAGGCCCAGACTGTGGGTTTGGGCTGGAGGAGCATCTCCCCTGGACAGGGACAGCTCTTTGAGTCCAGCCCCAGAAGAGCGAGGAGGGGAACACAAAAATCCACAAAATCCACATGGGGACAAACTGCCCTAAGGAGCTCCGTGTTGTAACACTTGATTTGGAGGCTTGGTTGAGGCATCCCTTGAGGAATGTCACGGTGCTGTAGGATGCAGCATTAGTGGGATAGGCCAGCTTGCTTTTCTTTCAGATTTAGTGTCTGAGTGGGCAGAGGGGCAGCAGGTAGTCACGACTATTGGCAAGCTGTGTAACACTGGAGTCTAATTACATGGAAAAAGTAACTATTTTGGGAAATGTCCCGTCTTAGTAGGAGTGTTAGTGTCACAGGTCCAGCTACATTCCTATATGGATGTATTTATATTCTGCTAGCCAAAGGTTACCGTAGAAACTAAGGAGTAAAGCAACACAATACATTTCCTACAGGAAAAAAAGAAACTGAAAACACAAAGATTTACCTCTGCATAAAAATACGTAACCTTGGAGAACATTTCACTCTGTGAACCACATCTTATGTCTTATCGCCTGAAGATAACAAAACGTAATGAGATCTGCTCCCTGAAAGTCTGCAGGAAGGACAATTGAAAACAGAGATTTTAAAGGTGACAAAGGACTCCCTTGCGTTTTCATTTGTTGGGTTTAATTGCTACCCTGAATGTGAGCTATCAAAGGAACCCATGCCATGAACCGAAGCCATATTGTTCCCCTGTGGGTACTTCCTTTCTTCATTTGATGGTATAAGCAAAGTCCTTTGTCCAACTCCTGTGGTCGGTCCATCTGTCTGGATGTAGCTGTTGTTGCTGCCGCATGTCTTACTGGTCTCAGGGGGTCTTCAGATTGTAATTCTATGCAAATTACTTTCCTGACAAAATCATTTCAGACCTCAAAGCTGCATTTCAGCACACTTCTTGTGGGTGGACATGAAGCAAAATGATTTTAAAGAGCAAGCTGTTCCCTAGTGTTATTTTGCTTTGCTGAGGATGTCACAGGAGTAAATGCTTTGCATCTCCTCTGCACAGTGGCCAGTATGAAGGTACAGAACTACTGTGAAGGACATTCCAGTTTGATAGCCACCCCAAGTTAGCACTCCTACTTTCTCTGTTTGGAACAATCCTGTGACCAGACTGATTATAGAAGCTCTTGGCAGAAACTAAACTTTGGGACCTGAATTGACTGGGATAGCTCCTCAGACTTCTGTGCCTCTGCTTCCCACTCATTTTCAACAAGTGTGATGCTGGCTGGACTGTACCCATTAACGGTGGTTAATATTACACTGATGGAGCATGTCTAGAGCCTGGGTTGAAAAGCAACAGCTCCTGAGAACTTGGTCCTTTGAAGGTACCACTGGAAAGCATCTCTTACTGTGACCATCAGACCACTGTCTGTATCTGAAAGGTAGCTTCCTGAGCTTCCCTGTGATGACTTCTTGAGCTTCAACCACTAAGCAACCAGGTTGGGTGCATTTCAATGGGCAACTTGCATCACTGCTAGGTGGTCCACCCTTCTCACTCCCTTCAACAATGAATGGAAATGGCACACAAGGAAACAGAGCAGCTTATGAGGTCCACAAGAAATAGCTAAGGTGGAGTCTCCTCATGTAAAGACATGATCATGCAGATGAAGTGGTGTGGTGTGCTGATGTGATGCCTGATCAAAGATGTCCATCTCTTAGATAGGGTTCTTCTAATAGATGGCCTAAGCCGCTCATGACTGAAATGTTTGTGTGATCATAGCAGCTAAATTACACCCTTAAAATAGGGACTTGGGGTGGATCCTCAATATCTCTCCTGTGAAGGAAGCCAGGTTTGTCAATCCCAGAGAATAGGTGAGTTGAATCTCTTATCAAAAGAGATGCCTTCTTTTCCTCAGTTTTCACTGTTAGGACTGCCCCTCATGAATCTGTGACCTTGGAGGCAAGGGGGACGGTATGGAGAGAGGAAATTTTTCCTCAAGTAGATGAGGACCAGGTTCGGGCCCACTTGGCCAAACTGGACATTCATAAGTCCATGGGCCCTGATGGGTTGCACCCACGAGTGCTGAGGGAGCTGGCAGACGTTATTGCTGGACCACTCTCGATCATCTTTGAGAAGTCGTGGAGAACAGGAGAGGTGCCTGAGGACTGGAGGAAGGCCAACATCACTCCAGTCTTCAAAAAGGGCAAGAAGGAGGACCCTGGGAACTACAGACCAGTTAGTCTCACCTCTGTCCCTGGGAAGGTGATGGAGAGACTCATACTAGATGTCATCTCCAAACAAGTTGAAGAGTGGGGGGTTATTGGAAGTGGGCAACACGGGTTTACCAAGGGTAAATCATGTATGACCAATCTGATAGCCTTCTATGATGCCATAACCGGTTGGTTGGATGAGGGGAGGGCAGCAGATGTCATCTACCTTGACTTCAGCAAGGCTTTTGACACTGTCTCCCATAACATCCTCATTGGGAAACTGAGGCAGTATGGGCTGGATGAGGGGACAGTGAGGTGGATTGAGAACTGGCTGTGTGACAGGACCCAAAGGGTAATTATTAATGGAGCAGGTTCAAGTTGGAAGCCTGTAACCAGTGGAGTCCCCCAGGGGTCAATACTTGGACCCGTGCTGTTTAATATATTCATCAGTGACCTGGACGAGGGGACAGAGTGTATCCTCAGCAAGTTTGCTGATGATACCAAACTGGGAGGAGTGGCTGACACCCCGGAGGGCTGTGCTGCCATCCAGCGAGACTTGGACAGGCTGGAGGGCTGGGCAAAGAAGAACCTCATGAGGTTCAACAGGGAAAAGTGTAGGGTCCTGCACCTGGGGAAGAAAAATGTCAGGTACCAGTATAGGTTAGGGGTGGACCCGCTAGAGGCAACTACTGAAGAGAAAGATCTAGGGGTCCTGGTGGACAGTAAAATGACAATGAGTAAACAGTGTGCTCTTGCGGCCAGGAAGGCCAATGGTATCTTGGGTTGTATAGGGAAGAGTGTAGCCAGCAGGTCAAGGGAAGTCATTCTCCCCCTCTACTCTGCACTGGTGAGGCCACAACTGGAGTACTGTGTCCAGTTCTGGGCTCCCCAGTTCAAGAGGGACAGGGAACTACTGGAAAGAGTCCAGCGTAGGGCTACAAAGATGATTCAAGGATTGGAGCATCTCCCTTATGAGGAGAGACTGAGAGAGCTGGGACTCTTTAGTCTGGAGAAGAGAAGGCTGAGGGGAGACCTTATCAATGCCTACAAGTATCTCAAGGGAGGGTTGAAGGAGGAGGGAGCCAGACTCTTTTCAGCGGTTCCCACAGAGAGGACGAGGGGCAACAGGCACAAGTTGGAACATAAGAGGTTCCACTCAAATATGAGGAGAAACTTCTTCACGGTGAGGGTGACGGAACCCTGGAACAGGCTGCCCAGGGAGGTTGTGGAGTCCCCTTCTTTGGAGATTTTCAAAACCCGCCTGGATGCAGTCCTGAGTAACATGCTCTAGCTCTGGGCAATCCTGCTTCAGCAGGGGAGTTGGACTAGATGATCTCTATGGTCCCTTCCAACTCTAGAAATTCAGTGAAATTCAGTGAAATCAAGTCACTGATTTCTGAGTCTGCCTTAATTTCCCTTATATTTCACCTAAATACAATATAGATCCATCAAGAGATCACAGGCATAAGAAAGTTTAATATTTTTCCCCAGAGCTGCCATAAGCTGAGCAGTATGATGCCCATGACCACAAGCTTTCCAGCAGCCTGAAACGTGCCAGTGTCACCCAAGAGATGGGTGGGAGGCAAGTGGAATAAGGCTTCATTACACTGTTGTGTAACAGAAGAGGTTCTAGGAGCCAATGGAACTATTGTGGGAAGTAGTGTGTTCAGAGAGAAAGAGAAACACCTTTACTTGATTACAATAAAAAATTTATTTTGATTCATATACTGAAAAATTTAATAAATAAAATGTCAAAGAATGATTGAGTGAGATTCCCCAACATCGGAGAAAAAAAAGTTATAATAATTGATTGTGTAGTCAAATAAAAATAGGAAGAAAATCTGATTATGGGAGAAAAAAAGTGCTTGGGAGATTTGGCTTTGGTAAAAAACACAATACATACTCAAGGAGTGCTTCAGAGATTTTCCATTGGTGGCAAATACAGTTCAAGAGTTTGAAACCTTGACATGTTGCTAAATGTTTTTTCCTTTGTTGTTGTTTTTTTAAACAAAATAAACCCAAAAAGTTTCTAGCAGGAACACAGACAGTCTTTAACAATGTGGGAATGAATTCTTCCCTCAGCATCACCTGTTGGTATCTCTTTATTCTGAAGGCATTTGAAAGAGCAGAAACTGAGATAAAGATCTAACACAACAGTCAGTTGTCTAAAGGACTCTAGAAAAAATTCCTCTGGAATAGAAACGTGATGGCGCAGACTATTGCTCATCCTACAGCTAGAAAGGTCCACTCTGCTCTCCTCACACTGCAAAAAATGGACACTAGTGGTACACAGTTACTGCTTGCTGTCAGCAAGAAAATTAAATGTGAATTGCATCTTGTTCGATGATGAAGACACCAAATCTATCCACAATAGTATGAGCCAGGATGTTTCATATCTACTATCAGAGGCAGATTATTCAGGGGAAAATTGGAAATTTAATTCAGATAGCAAAAGGAAACTTTCAGAACAGCACAGGCTAGAAGAGAGCTGATTTTTTTTACCACTTTCATTGATCCTAAACTGCCACTTCTGATTAAAAAAAAAAAAAAAAAAGAGATTTAGGTACCAAAAAAAAGGTTTTCTTCCAAGTCTTTCTAAAAATGACTAAAACAGCAATGAAATGTTTCTGAATTGCTGATGTCTGGCCATGAGAAAAAAGAGATTAAAATTGTTGAAGATCATGATGAAAAAAGTATCTCCAAAATCCAGCCACAGAGTGAAGATACCATTGGATATCCATGGAGTCTTTTTCCTCTTTAAGTTGCTTTGCTTTCATTACTGTGACGTATCACCAGAAGCATATTGATCAACGATTTAAACAAAATGCTTAAATGCTTAAAGCAAACAAATAATCATGGTTCAGGTAGAAATGTTTCATTCTTTTACAAAGTACATGGAGAAGACAGTAAGCCCATTGAATTTGCTGCGCCTGTGACATGCAGGTGAGTAGTTCTGCTGGCCACCATGTTGGGAAAGGGCTTCTTGACATCAGGATCACGAACAGGTCTCAGCATGAGGATTTGAAAATCCTGCCCTTTTCATATTACTAAACTGAAGGGTCACGTAGGTACTGTGAAGGGACCTCAGTTCGCCGCACAGACGTTTGGCATCCTCAGCTGTTTATATGCTGCAAGTCCAGTAATATTCATGTGGGTAAAGCAGTCTGCATTGGCAAATGGTGCTCTGGCCCAAAATAGGGATATTCCAGCTGACTGTGTCATTGTGCCATGAATTGCTGCCTTAGAGGTAAGCTCACTGCTAACAACTGTCATGGAAAGACAAGGGGATAAACCTTGGACTGAAGCATTTCAGTGGTTGAAGGGCTAGGTTTTCTTTGAACTCAAATACTTATGTGCTTCAATATGCTGCCATAACTGGTGCATGAAAGATGAGTCATTTAGATGATGATTTCTAAATTGCCACAAACCCCAACCATTGTAATCCATTAAAAATGAAATATGCTATATTTTCCAAGCCTTATCTGAAGTCCCTTGAAGTCTGTGTCAAGAGCAACATTGGCTTCACCAGAGCTGAGAATGGGTCCAATGATCCATGAATCCTATTTTCATGGTATCAGGAAGAAAAAGCCACTGTTCTCCATTCTTCACTACCTGAACTTTGTTCTTGGATTCATATTTTATCTGTCCTCAAGGAATAAACGCATTGACTCCAGCAAAGATTTGTGGATATACAATCTCCACTGTCACTTCCCTCCTCTTGCTGCCTAGAGGTACTGACATTAATACACTCATTTCTCCAGAGATGCACATAATTTTGAAGTCTGGCTTACACTGTAGGATCAGCTTGTGTAGATTGTGTCCTTGTAGATGCTGCTACAGGGCAAAAGTTTCCTAGTGTATTGCTAGCTGATATCCCAACCTGTGATATTTCTTCCATTTCAGATAGAGACCTTGTAAAGAGATACCACTTCCTAAATTTGTAAAAAAATAAGAGGAAAAGTTTCCTTGGAACTTTTGGAAATTTTCCCATAAAAAAGGTAAAAGCTACCTTTATATTGTGTGTCATGTTTGCATTTTCTCAAATACAATATAGGAGCTGTTATTATTGGTTTTGACTACAAAAGTACACCATGTGGAGGCTAAACTTTGGTTAATTTTTCCCCCTTTTATAAAAAAGTTTAATTTAGAGTTGTCATCTTTTAAAAAAAATCACATCTGTTGCACAATTATAAAAGGCACATATAAATGACTGAAAGAAAAGAGTCCACTTGCAAACCTTAAACTGATTAAATAAAAAGGAGCATTCCAGAGTATTTTCCACCAAAAAAAAAAAAAAAGAAAGAAGAATTATATATAACCAAAAAAAGACAAACAAACAAGTGGCTAAAAAGGCCATTTTTTTGCTGGAGTTTTCAGTATTGTTTTTTCTTTCATTATGGCTGTATAGGAACCAATATTAAATAATATGTGATCAGAGATGATTTGATTTCTATTTTCTAGACACTATCAATGCAGAATGAGGCAACGGCTGAAATATTTTCTACTCCAGGCAACCTCATCACTTTTTTGCTTAAGACAGCATGAAACCAGAAGTAATAGAGGAAACAGAAGAGACAGTTCAAAATGAAGATCAACAGCAGAAGTGAATTCATTTCTTTGAGGTAATCCTTACTATGATGTTCACAGCTGCCCTAGTGGGTTACAATTCCCAGAAGTCATTTTCACTCTTCTTCAAGGATCTCCTGCCTTGTTCAAGGGAAGAATGGACACACAAACTGCAGTTCTTGTGCCCAGGTTTCCCCTAGTTGCAACAGAGAGATCTTTCATCAGTAATTCAGAAATCAAGCCGTAGAGGCTAAGCAGAGATTTGTTTATTCCCACAACCGATTGGTAGTTCCCAGCTATCTGTAGATAGAAAAACATGTGCAGCACTGAAGCTGGTCCTCAGCTGAGCTCCCTGCGGTGAGCACTGCAGCAGTGAGATGCTCCGAATCCACCGCAGATTCACGCATTCAAATCTGGCTGGCGCTCAGATCATCTTCACTGAGCTTTGTTCTGCTGCATGTTGGAAATTGCAGCCCCCATTTCTCCCCGTGGCCAGGGTCATCTGCCCTTGAAAAAATTTATTTTTTCAATGGAGGCAAGAGTCATAGTTATATTGGACTCAAAATCTGCATCATGGACACCTGTTTTCCGGAAAGCCCCAGCTAATAAAGCATTGTTTTCCCAGTAGTGATGCCAATGTCCTTTGCTGTTTGCTCCAAAACCATACACATTCACCTAGGAAGTAAGAGAGAACTAGTGTTATGGCCTGGAAAGCTCTGAAATGTTGAAGAAACTCTCTTGATTCTCAATTTATCTATAGACAGAAACATTTGAGGACCTCAGTGGTGTGACAAGGTATTCTACTGTATGAGATGATGCAATCACAGAAAACAGCCCAGATATTACACCCTAAGCTACGCTGAGATGACCACCATACCCAAACCCAGACAGCAAAGGAAATTTCTACCCATTAATTCTTGTTTAGCAATACAAAAAACACATTCCTTTCTCCTAAGCATGATGTTTGACCTCAGGACGTGAGTGGCTTGGGATGAAAGTCTCCTCTTTAGCTGATTAAGGCCACAAAGAGTGGAAAAATTTTGGTTTTGCTCCTAGTCTTCCAAATAATGACCCATGTCAACCCCCTCTTACATGCTTTGAAATTTGCAGTCACTTCAGAGGCAGGTGGACATTATGTGCTTTGTGTGTATACTCCTGTGGCCTTTCCTCTCCCATTTGAATAAGCAAATGGCAGAGAAAATGGAAAGGGAGAAGTAAAGGCTGAGTGAGTGGTCAGGGCATGTTCCTGGCACTTCAGTGTGAAACATCCTGATTTTTTTATCCATATAGCCAAATACAATCAGACCTTACCTCATCGCATACGTGGAGTGCAAATATCAAAGTCAGAAGGCCTGTGGAGGGGTATCTCCCATGATGCTGGACCCAGTTCTCATAGACGTATTTCATAAAAACTGGATTATAAACCAGGATCTAGGCAAAATTGGAGAAAAAAATCCTCATTAGTAAAATACCCTGGGAAGAAACAATGGCAGCATGTCATCTCTAAAAGACACCAGGGTAGGGGAGAGGGCAAGAAGGGAATAATAGTTATTCCCCGAGGGCAGGTAAAAGGGAAAAATAAAGTCCCATAGTTAAGTGCATTCAAGATTATTTCACATGTGCAATTACACATCAATATTCCTTCCTTGGTCTGGATGTAAATCCCGGGTGATTCCTGCTGATCTCAATGGGTATGAAATGGCACAAGTGAAAAGAAAATTAGGCATTCAACTCTCCCTGCAGCGTCCTGCCGTAACGCAGGTGAGCTCTGGGGAGCTGCAGGCATGGAGAAGGCAAGCATAAGATGTCATGCCAGATTTAATAGAATCATAGAATCATTTAGGTTAGAAAAGACCCTTAAGATCATTGAGCCCAACTGTAACTTGGGTGAGAACGTAGCAGCAACTGCATCTTCCACACAATACACCAACCATGTCTTGGTATCCCATGTATCCCATCTGTACCATGTCTTGGTACAGATCTAAGGAAACCAGGGGCCAGGTGTAAACTACCAGGAAGCCTACCAGGTTTTATCAGCTGTGTTTCTCCCGTTTCCCAATCATCCTGTTTTTCTATGGCTTTTTTTTTTTTTTTTTTTTAAACACAAAAACAACAACAAAAACAAACCCAAACCCATAAATTGCATTTGGATATCTCCTGGGGAAATTATGAGGCCATCTAATGGAGACAGAGCACTTAACATCAGACCTGAGTGTACAATAAATCCAAGGACTGGTGGGAGCCCTTGGTTTCAACCCCCCTCCCTGAATCAGGCAAAGGGAGACTTTTCCCTCTGTGCTGCATTTGTAATTAGAGTGACAGCATTTCAGCAGTATCTAGTTAGCTGCAGGGCTTTTCCTTTTACAAAGTCAGAGGTTAATTGCTGATACTGTATCTGTGTGTAATCACTTCTCACAGGGTGTTTTGGATTGCACGGACTGGGAAGAAATACAAGCTTCTCATCTCCCTGCTCAGGAAGCTGCTGCATATCACCAGCAGTACCTTGGGCTGGTGTTACTCAACTGTGACATGAGTTTAACAACCTGCCATAGTGCATCTCACAAGGGATTTGCAGAGGTTAATGTGCTCCTCACAACAGGTGATGGTTTAATACCTCCAGAGGTCCATGGTTTGAAGCACAGGGAATAAACTGATACTAGCTAAAGGTCTCTTCTGAAGCCTGTGGCAAAACTTGGCATCCTGAGTGAAGGACATGTGCTTTAACCTGTAAATTTAATGCTCTGAGGCTAACGTCATACTTTACCAGCCCTTGAGGCATTAGAGGCCTGAGCTCCTTTGAAAATCAGCCTTTCCAAAAGCTGAGAGAATGAGACTTTTATTTTGCTGGAAGGTCTGTAGGAAAGGAATTGTCTTTTACTTCTCCCTACATAGCCTGCCTTGGTTATGTCCTACAACTATGCAGCTGCAACAAAAGTCTTTGCATGGTGGCTATAGGTGCAACATGGGAATAACCATCCTGCCCCATGGGAAATCCTGCCTCCAGCAGCAGCACATGTCTATTAAACCAAAGCACGCTTGGACAACGAGTCAGTGTGTATGAGATGGACTATCTTCTGACTGCTGTGGGGTAGGCACCAGGTTCGCCCATCTTTCCTCAACCTTCTCAGAGAAGTGAGGTCCCCTGAGCGATTGCCTTCTACACATCCACACTATGAAGTAAAATAGGTCAAAAGCATTTTTTTAGCCTTGAGGGAAGTGGAATGGCACAGATTATGTCCACATTGCTCAATTCTGTTCCTGTGAAAAACAGGGAATATTCCCTGGTCTGAGCTATCCGCCAAACCTTGTTTGAACATCGCCTAGGAGAGTACTAATACACCTGGGACAAAATCAGCATGGACTTGGCCTGAGACCAGTCTCCAGGATTGTTTCATAGAATCATAGAATTGTCTACATTGGAAGGGACCTTTCAGATAATCAAGTCCAACCATCAGCTTAACAATGATGAAAAACCATCACTAAACCATAATTGGGTACAGGCAGTTATTAGAGCTGTGGACTAAGAGCCTTCCTCAAAAGCCAATGATACTGTCATGAATTCTCCACTGACTTGAAAACACACAACTTTATTTTTTCAGAGTTCACTTAGCTCCTTATTACAAGGAACTGACCCAAGAGTGAGAAACATCCTTGGCATTCAAATAGCCAAATTATTAAAAAAAAAACAAACCAAAAAAACCCACAGCTCAAAGTGTTGTTACATCCAAAAGACTGTAACTGGCAGGAACAGAGCAACTGCTGTGGAGGGTGAGCACCGTTGGCCAACAGTACACCTTAAATCTCCCTGAGCAGTACCAGAAGAAGCAATGCAGCCTTCAGAACAGCAGTAATGCAATGGCATAGTCACAAGAGCAGTTTCTTTCCAACCTCACTAATTTCGTGGTTGATCTATGGCCTGGATGGCACACAGGAGCTAAACCTTTAACTTAGCTGAGCCTTGTGAAGTGTGTGTATTTTGGTTGCAGTTTTTATGAATGTCAAAGGGTTCCTTGGATTCTTGCAGTCTCCCAAAGAAGCCAAAGACCTACAACTGGACTAGTAGAACAAATTCACAAATCAGCATTGCTCACCTTTTCTTTTTTGACTTTGATTTTCCGTGGAACTGGAATATATGTGCTGTTGGGAGAAAAAACAATACCACCACCAAGATTAATAAAAGCCCAACATATGAATATTTTCATATATTTCCAAAGAAATAAAGAATATTCTCCATTTACAGTAAGAAATTCAAATTATTTTAAAGTAATACATTGAAGAAGTTGTTGGAAAATGAGGCTGCAATTAAGTAATACAAGAGCAAGAAAAAACTGAGCTGTCACTGAAGCAAGTTTATAGGAAGCCAATACATTTTTAAATTTTCAAGTTAATTATTGACAATAGGGCACCAAATATTCAGCTGACAGTATACTGTAGGGTCAATATTATGTGAAGCCCATGACTTCTAATTCTTGTGTCATGACTGTTGCAGTCTTTCCGCTTTGATGACAGGAAGGACTTTCCATTTAATTTCATGGCAGAAAAAACTTTTCCCACCAGGGGGAGACTTTTCCCCTCCTAATACTTGCAGCTGCTGCATGATTTTCAGAGTAGGTGGTAGTAGAGTTCATAATTTCTGTGCTTCTGTGCAACTCTGACATTCCAATACACAGCCCCTCACCAGCAAGCTATTCCCCTCCTCCCCAGGGAATGCTGAAGGCTTCCTGTCTTTCCCAGCATCAAACTTCCAAGTCATATCTTATGACTGGGTCAAAATCACGAGCCATGTCTTGAAAACAAAAAAATCTTTTCTTCCCCATATCTCATGCACAGTGTATGCTGGCATTGTACAGCTTATCACGAGTGCTGTAAAAAAAAAAAAGTCTCCCTGAGTTTGTTTCAAGTAAGAAAATTCTGAACTGGCCTTGTAACTAGAATATATACCAAAATATACCCTGCAGACTTTTTAGACGGCTTGTGAAAAAACACCAAAACCTTCCATTAGTTCAATCTAAATGGTTTTTGCTTGATTTTTGGTCACAACAAGGTTCCTGTGATCAACGTTTTATTTCTCTTTGAACCATGGATCATCAGCACTTTGAAACATTAGTTTAAGTCTTCTCAAATCAATGGTAACCTGGCAATGTCCTCATCTCCTTAGGTGCTTCTGGGCATCCCTCACCTTATATCCCAGCTCCAGGCTGGATGCAGTGGAAGACATGATGGGTGGGTTACAGCCGCCTGAGATGTGACATGAGATGCTAACAGGCAAAGGGATATAGGTGTGGACTTCTTAATCTGCCCTCAGCAAATCTGCCCTTATATCTGCTTCCCACGCCTGACCTCGCTTAGCAAAGTTGGTAAAAGTAAGCTTGGTGATCCCATGTCCTTTTTGTGGTTATGAAGACTTAAAAGGCTTCTTTGCTAGTAAAATCTCTTCATTATTATATAAATAAAGAGCCAGTCTTTTCTGAGAAGCTGATGTGAAGGAAACAAGAGGACCGTATTTCATGAACCTCTAGCCAGGTGGGGTAGAAGACCAAAGTGAACAGTATGAAATATACAAGACAGTATTTGCTCATCCAACCAGGACACTACTATAGCTCTTATCAGCTGACGTTATTAGTCGTTTATATCATGGGTTATTTCATTTTTCAGAAGCAATACCCATGTCCTGCTGTCACTTGGCTGCAGAATTTCATACAACCAAATGGAACGCATTGACACGCTGATTAAGACCAAATGGAGACCTACACCATCATGACCATGTAAAAACCGGGCTGCATAGCAGGGAGTTAGCGATCAAGTAAATACCACACAGGAGCAGGACAGAGACTAAAGCCTCTGATGAAGGTGGCTACAGATGGAATTCATATTAACTGGAAAGCATCTTCTATGAGCCTCTTGGCAGTGTTCTAGTGAAGTCTGGCAGCATCACTGGCCACCTGTACAGGATATTTACTGTGCTATTGACCCAAGTGGACGATGTGGAACATTTTAAGAAATAAAAATATTGCTCTTTGCCAAACCAAGTGGACATCCATGGAGCTTTTTTCACTATGGAGATTCCTAGAAGACTTGAAGAAGGTAAATTAAGGCAACTAGGCTAAATATATGACAGATGCGGGCCTGAAGGTTTTCAGTCCCAGAAGGCTTTTCTTGTTTTTTTTTCTGGGACAACGTTCAGTCTTAGAGAGCCTCTTTGAAATGGGATATCCATCAGTCATATGGGACACATCTGAAACAATCATTCATCTACCAATTCAATCTAATATTAAAGCTATCTGCAGTTTGGCTTTTCTTTTGAAACATACTACAGAATGCTTACCGTTTTAAACTGTGAGATATTTCTTCTCTTCTAAAATTCTGAATTTCAGATGGGTTTTATTTTTATTTGATGCCTTCTCCCAGTTACAAATGCACAGTCAATAATT